TGTCTATGAAGATATAGATAGATACAGATATAGACAACATTTGCTGTAGCATTGTTTGAAATACTTATTACAAGCCACCTAGATGTCTGTCAACAAAGGTATGAAATAATTGTGGTACAAGTGAACAATGGAACACTACACGACATTTAAAATAAATTAGGTCTACACGTACCACCGCAGATAAGTCTCATAATGTTGAGTAAAAAAAGAAAAATACGGAAGTGTTTGTACACTATGATGACATTTATGCTTCTTTTGAAAGCATAAACAATACTATGTATTATGGATATATGTGGTATTAATTTAATAATATTCATGGAAATAATAAATTAAAGTCAAGATTGCAGGTTTATCTGGGAGGGAGAAAAGAGACTGGAATTGGAGAGGGTTTCATAGTAGGCCTTGGTTAAATCTATTTTCTTTCTTTTAAAAATAGAATAAAATACAGAAAAATCTTGGAATTTGATAGTGCTAAGGAGCTCAACAGTGAGTATATGACTATTTGATTATCCTCTATAACTTGCATGTTAAATAACCTGCAATTTATGTACAACCAATACACCCATGTCCCTAGCAGGATTATTCATAGCAGCCAAAAGATGGAAGCAACCCAAGCATCCACTTATGGATGAATGGATATACAAATTGTGGTATGTTCATATAAAAGAATATGATTCAGCCTTCAAAAGGAAGTAAAATCTGACATGTAGCACAATATGGATGAACTTTAAGGACATTATGCTAAGGTGAAATAAGACAGACACAAGAGGACAAATGCTGTATAATCCCACATACATGGGGTCAAATTTTGAGACACAGAAAATAGAATGGCAGATGCCAGGGGAGAAAGGAGTGGAGAGTCATTCCCCCCCCCCATTAACTTTATTGGTACATTTTAGGTATAAAATACAGTTACATTCATCATTGGGATCTTGTACCATTACATGAGTCTTTTGGTTCTTAAGGTTCTTCCCTTCCCCTCCCTTCACCCCCTCCACCCTTCCCTATTTGCAAAGACTTTGTTTCCATTTTTTTCCTCTTCTCATATTTTTCCTTTCCCTTTTTTCCTTTCCCCTACCCCTCCCAATTCCCCTGCTCTCTTAGACCTTTTCTTCCTGTTACACAATATCACTTATACATTTTTAAAATTACAATATTAAGATCTAGGAGACACAGATTTTACAGAATTTAAAAGGATATAGAAAGCATATTACAAAAATCTTTTTTGAAATAACTTTGACAACTTCTAAGAAGTAACTTAGAAGACAAATTAATGAAACTATCTCTGGAGGAAATATAACATTTGAATAGAACCTATTAAAGAAAGTATATTCCTAGCTTGAAAACCTACCTATATGACAACAGCAGCCTCATAAACATTTTAACTGATAAATTATATCAAACAAAGCAGAAAAAAGAAGGAACACTTCTCCCCTCATTTTAGGAACTCAACATTGTGCTAATCCTAAAACTGGATAAAGATAATAGAAGAAAAAAGTATGAACATAGATAGAAATTTGTTTAACAAAACAAACTATTGGAAGTCAGATCTGGCAGTATGTAGAAAGTGGTTTTATTATAGGGATGGCAGTGTTGGTTCAGCATTGGAAAATCCACGCCCAAAAGTAATCATTTTAACAGAGGAAAGGAGAAAGCCATATGATCCTGTCACTAGTTGGAGAAAGAGTACTGGACTAAATTCTACAGCTGTTCATGGTAAAAGCTATCAGGAGACTAGAAGTAGAACAGAAGCTGCTCAACAGATCAAAGACATGTACTCCATACTTCCAACAAAAACTCCTTCTATGAATGGAGACGATACAATGCTTTCTCCCTAAAGTGGGGAACAAGGGCATATATGCCTATGGAGAGTCATTATTTAATGAGTACAGACAGTCAGTTTGAGAGGAATGAAAAAAGGTTATTCATGATTCTACAATAAAGTGAATGTACCTAATGCCACCAAATTGTACACTAATGTTTATAATAGTAAATTTTATGAATATTTTAAATTTTCAAACTCTTAATTTAAAAGATCAGATGATATGAGGATCAATAAATGATACTTTCTTTTTTTTTTTTTTTGGTACCAGGGATTGAACTCGGGTCCTTGCACTTGTGCAGCAGCCGGCAAAACCACTGAGCTAAATCCCCAGCCCTATAAATGATACTTTTTAAATCCTAGAAGGGAATACCACACAATCAAAAAAGAATGAAATATATCTCTATGTGCTGGTATGGAATGCTTGGCATGGCACACTGGTCACCAAAAAGCCCAAGGTGATGAGCAGTGGGGCTGGAAGGCCATCGTACAGGGCATAGCCCAAAACAACCAGTAACTGTGACTGGCTCTGGGCAGGGGCGGGGAAATACAGAGGTCAGGGGTGAGTTGGAGACTTAACTATTCAAAAGTGAATTCGTTTTTAGGAAAGGGATCAGTCCTCTCAATTATCTATATAGTACTGAGACAAGAGCGGAAATAAATAACTGGAATTCCTACTTAACACCCTAATTCTAGGAAACCAAAGTTCAAAGAGATGAACTGACATGCCAAAGACAGAACTGGGATGTTATCCAGCGTGTACTTTAAAAAAAAAAGTTTGAGGGCTGGGGATTTAGCTCAGTGGTTCCACCGCCTGCCTTGCAAGCACAAGGACCCGAGTTCGATCCCTGGTACCAAAAAAAAAAGTTTGAAAAACAATAAAAGACTTAAAAGATGCCCCATTTTAGGAGCCAGGGATTTAGCTCAGTGTTTCCGGCACCTGCCTTTCAAGCAAGCGCAAGGTCCCGAGTTCAAGGTCCCAAGTTCAAGGTCCCAAGTTCAAGGTCCCGAGTTCGATCCCTGGTACCAAAAAAAAAAAAAGATGCTCCGTCTTGTATAGCTAACCTACTGAAACAGAATATATATTCTTCCCCTAAATATATTTGGAAAAATGTAATACTTTATAGCTTACTTTTCTTATTGTCAGCATAATTCCTGTGTTTTCTATCATTTTCTCTTGTACTTAATTTTGTTTTTAATTTTCACCAGTCTTTTTTGAGTCAAGATTTTTATAGTTCTTCATTTTTGTTCGGGGCTTTCATTAACCTTAATTTTAATTCCATGTTTTGTATTGTTCACATACAGAAAAATGTACAAATAAGATTTTCAAAAGAAAATTTTAAAGCATCACAAAAAGTATATTTATATATGCATATATATATATCTGCGCATACACGTAAGTATCCTGATTCTCAGTTCACCATTTCTCCCACTCTCACTCATACTTTAGCAGCTTAAAGCTGTAAAAAATACAATCTTCAGTATCTCTTAAATGTTTATCTTTGCTTATTTACAGATAAAAACTGAGTTTTGTTTAATTTACCAAAAGAAACTCATATCCTCCGCAAGATGGTTTTTTAACCAAAGATGCTGCTTCAAAAAATTATTACACAGACCACAAGCTAACTGCAAAGTTTGGAAAATCCACAAGGTGGCACTAGCTACCTTTGGTCTAATCCCATAACCTAGTAAATTGTCTAGAAAACAGGGTTTAAGAAGTGCCTCTGCCATAAGCAAAGGTTAAAAACTGAAGCTATGAGACATCTTACTTCTGTCTGGAGGGACAGCTGCCAGCCAAAACACATTTGGAACTCTAATCACACATTTAAAAACTTACCCAAAATGCCAAGTGTAAGTCATAACTGCCGTATTTCTTCCAGTGGCAGATTTAACACCTGTTCCTTTTGACATGCTTCATTTGTGGTACTTGATCATCTTAGACATATTTCCAGACTCTCTATATACATCCCACTTGTATAGTGTGTGTCTGTGTATGTGTGTAACAGACACAAGCACATGCACACCAAGGACAGGTATTTGGGTTGTTTTACTTTTTTGGTAACAGCTCATAGTCACATCTTTATTAAATACTATTCACATCTGACTATAATACAGTATCTTCATCTTTTTCATAAGTTCCCATTTTTCAACACCTTATGAATATCTCACAAATAAGAATAACACTTGGTGGGTTCAGCCTAAACTCAAATGGTAAGTCTTAAAAACTCATCACAAAAAGATGTTTCTGATCTCTTGACAATATCATATCAATTTAGAAAAGACCTGGAAAAGTTTGCTGAAGCCTTTTACATAGAAGTTTTAAAGGATAACACCCAGTGCTTGATCTTGAATAGATTTCCAGGCACTAAGCCTCAGAAATACCTGAAGAAAGGAAGGCTGAAAATCTCTAGTGGTTTAAGAATTTTTATTCCCATTATCACAGCTTCCTTTTAAGCTAAAAATCTCTTGGAGATGACAGTAAGTGTGCTTATGCTTTGAGTATTTTACAACACAAAAATTCAATGTGATCTATTCATTTCATTCAGAAACTTTTTTTGTGTGCAGACACAAGGATTTTTCCCACGACACTCAGTGTATGTGTCTTGCATCCTGATTAAACAAAGTGTAGCAGCCTTCTTACAGCCTATAATCTACTTTCTAAAATGAGCATTTAAATTCAAAAGCACACTGTATAAACCAGAGTGCTCAAAGGAGCACATCTCAATAATATATTGCACATATAAACTTATTGTATCTATAAGAGTATTTGATATATGAAACATCTAAAGAATATATAAGAATAAGAATATATAAGAATAAACATCTAATGAATATATGCTTTTTAATGAGTTTGTTTCCAGAAGCAGTGGTTGTGGTCTTGCGAAGGCCAGCTTTTCTCAAATTTAAAGGGAAGATAAATACTAAAACAGATCACTAAAACTGAGAACACTTTGCAGTCCCAGGCCAACTCCAGTGATGGGGAGGAGACAATGTGGACAGCGAAGTCAATCCCACTGCAAGCCCGTTTCCTGGGCTCTGCTTAGTTCAGGAAGTGTGTGGCAGATGCAGTGCAGACTGAAGAACGGGGGCCCCACCTTCCTCAACAATCAGCATGGAAATAACACCTTGGTGCTGACAATTTACCGTCTTCCTTGATCTCCAACTCATAACCAAACAATTTTCAGACAAGACTCAGAAACTTTTATTAAATTGAACACAAAATGCCTGTTATAATAACATCAAGCTTTTATCCGAAATCAGTACATAAGTGAGAATACACAGCCAAAATGAGCCATCAACATAAGCAGTATAAATTTTAACTAACTTTCAGATTTCTATATTCAATATGCTGAAGAAAACAAAACCAAAAGAGCAATTTCAATTTCACAATTCACAGTTGATTGGTTATAATCCTATGACACGTTTGTCATTTCTGCAGTCCTGGAACAAAAACAGATTTCCAAACAGTGACTGGTACATTGCTCCAATAGCATACAAAGATCTAAAACCCCTGTGTGACATTTAAAGAAAATTTTATGAAACGACCTCAATTTCATACAATTTGGGCTGGCATTTTTTAACTGTATCTTTTAGCAAAGATAGATATAGCTCTTGTGAAGTGGCAAAAGCAGTTTTAAAAGTTGCCATGCCATTCATGAAGGGTTCTAAAGCCTCCCTTGGTTTCCCATGATTTTATTCTTAAGACAGTAACTGCCTTAAAACGCAGCCTTTACAGGGAAAGCAAAATCAGTTTTACTTCTAGATCTAGAGCACACATCCGGAGGACACACTTGGTCCCGGCAGATGCATGCACTGCTTTAAAGCACAGGCCAACATACTCTAGAGTAAGGCATTTCCAAGCAAACACACTCACCCAAACCCATGCTCAACACAGGCACCTCAAAGTGAACACCAAACAATGCAGAACCAACACAAAATTCTTACAAGATGACACTGAGTCACAAAACTACAGGAAGGTACTCAGGTACTGACAGAAGGCAAAACAACAGCCACTCCGAAAAGAGTTTCGTTCCCAAAAATGCCAGATGTGCAGCATAGAAATAAACTATATATGCTTTGTCCTAGGATAATATCACTCATTCTGAAACATGGAGTTACTTTTCCTTAAAAAAAAAAATAGGTCATGTAAAGAGTACACAAATAACCAGTGATATAGAACATTTATTTTCACTAGTGAGGGGGTCACTTCAGCATTCACATAGAGTTATGAGAGAATCATGAAGGCCATTTAAAGGTTAAAAAAAATCTGATAAACTCTGCATTATTAGTTGGTATTTAACAGTGCAGTGAGAGTTCAGCGATTGCGATGGGCTTACATACTATGGCCATGAGAATACCATGAAATGTCTAAAAATAAACATCTAATTAGTAAAAATACATATCTTCCTTTTAAGGGCCCAAAGGAAGCATTCAGTTATTTCAGAAACCAAGAACTATATCCAATGAGCACAAGAATATAAATCAGGAACATTTAAATTTCATTTCTGATTCAATTTTACCCATTGCATCTTCATGACCTGAAGTAAGTAGCTTAAATTCTGCAGATTTATCCACAAAAAGTGAACATAAAAATAAAGGCATATATCAAAAAAATTCTAAACATTATTGGAGTAAAGCTAAATATAGTTACTAAGGCTCACAATTTCAACAATTCATTGTACAGTACAATCATTTAAAATTTTTCTAATTAACATCTAGAGGAAGCATGGGTAATTACAATACTCAATCCAAATCAAATTCCCTTGATAAATTAATAGTTTGAACTTTCTAATCTACTTAAACCGTTCTCAAGTTGTTTAAAACAGCTCATTATACATGGGTTTGACCCTTTCCTCCCTCTACCTACTGGTAGAGCAGCTGACAGCAGTGACAACAAGAGGAAAAGCAGCAATTGGTGAAATGAGGTATAAACTGATTTCATAAACCCCAATCTATAATTTACAGTTTTCTGAAGAAGCTGCATAGTTCAGCAAAATACCACCGGCAGAAGACGGGTAAAGAGAAAAAAACTCTTATCGTGAAATTTTAACATTGATGACAATTAAACATTTAAAAATAACCAACTCTAGAAAATTTCAGTTTGAAAAAGGAGCTGTCTTCCTTCATTCTAACTACACACAAGAACAGAAACTGGAAGACTGGAGTCCACAGGAGAAAAAAGAAGTATGTTAATTGGCTCAGGGTATCAACTTCATACACTGCTTTCAAAAAGATATTAATATTTAAATCAATAATAAACCTTGGTTAATGCACCTAGGGGAAGTGCTTTGTCTGACATTTACACTACAATGCCCATCTGGATGGACTGACAGATGAAATCGAGTGAGGGACAGGTAGATATGGGGAAATGTAAGTGTGGTAAAATGTTGATGGTGGAGTGTAGTGGTGGGTATGTCCTAAAGTGTTTTCTAGTTTGACATATGTTTAAAATTTTTCATGAGAAAATGTTAGTATTTCTATAACAAAATAAGTTTAGCAGTGTACTTTGAAGATTCTAGCCACTCAGGCAATTTACAAGTTTAAATTAAGTGAAGTAAGGGAAATTTTTGTTATAAAGGCCTCAAACTTGATGTGTAAAGCAGAGATGAATTAACACAATTAATAATTATTATGCCAGCCAGGTTCATAACATACTTTATTTGCAAATATGTCATTCTCTCCTCTCTAGAAAAAGACGAGTTGGAAAAAGACACTGGAATAAAGAATTTATTAAAACATCAGTGTCAAGCTCTGCTAATACACCACACTACCGTTCACTAAATATAAATGTAGCACTTCAAGGTGACTACTGCCAGCCTGAGACACCTGGATTTATGTTCAGGGTATATGTTTCCTGATTAAGTTTTATTTAATATCAAATTGAGACTGAAAAAAAAAGTGTAGAACAGAATTCACATAGACTTTTGCTATTCCAAGCTCCTATTTTATGAACCATGATTAATAGCAATAATTCTGTCATCCCTTCTCTGTGAAATGCTAATACTTGCTAAAGGCACTCATATTCTGGGCTTGACAGACACAGGGTCACACAGGACCATAAGCCAGTACTTTTTTTGGTAGCTACCCAGAAAGGGAATTTACAAATGATCCCCCCATTCAAAATGGGAAGAAAACATCTAAGACCTATTATGAGAAGCTATTTACACAGCTATTTGTCCATTCAGCTACACTGATAATAACAGCTAACAATGGTAGGAATTCCCCCACCAAGAACACAAAAACAGCAATGAAACACTTTTTATTATACATGGAACACCTGAACACAGTGACTTGTCTGGTAAGAAAAAAAATAGGTGGTAAGGTGGAATTTTTTAAACACCTGTTCAAAATTTTTGCCTAGCCTAACAAATCGCTTCTCTACTTATTTCTAAAGAAATTAGTATTATTGTCTGTTGACTTAGCACAAGCCTCACCAATTCTTGAGTACTTCCAGCCTAAGTTCTGACATTACAGAACAAAGTTAGGTTCTGAACTTTTACCATCTTTAGGCCTCTCTGCAGAGAATACTGTGTCACACTGTTCCTCACATGTCTCCCCTGTCTCAAACAAGACTCATTTTACATAGGTCAATGGACAATCCTCAAACTGTCATTGTTCACAGTACCAGACAACAAAGGCGTGAGAAATCATAAATCCTGCTGCTAATCCTTAGAATCCATCTGCAGAGGAAGATTTAACCAGCTATGTACATATATACATATACAGGTGTGTGTACACACATATATATGTATATATACTCCTCCTTTCCTTCTTGTTCAGTTTGTAGCTCAGTAGCCATAAACAAGCACATGGTTCTGCAGAACTTTGTAAAGTGAGATGGAAGACCCTAGTGCTTCCCATTAGCCTATTCATGGGACATGATGATCTCAGCCCTGACTCTTCATTCACACTCAGGGTTTCAAAAATCCTATGGTTTTCTAAGTTTAGAAATTAATTAAAAGGGAAAATAATGAGAGTGTGGTAGGGGACTTTTTCAAAATGAATGATAAAAAAAAATATTCACCTTACAGAATTCAGTGCAATAAAAGACAAGCAGATACACATAATAAACAACATGCACATATTTACAAGTTGCATGACATGATATACAAAGACAAGGCCAACAAAGTATTTTCTATTCAGTGTGAAGTCAAAGGACTACAGGACACACTCCATTTTATAACTAAACTTTAAAAAAAACTTTAAAGGCATATGCAATTCAATCTTAATTGAAACATGGAAATTTTCCTTCATAACCTTTCACTCTTAATATCTTAGAAGAGTTTATCTTCTAATATTAATTTTTTAATGGCAATGTACACAAAGATATGCACAGAAAAAAGAGACTTTGATGCTATGCATTCTTACAGATGATTACTGAAATCTTTTTTTAACTAAAGGTCTTTCTTTGTTTGGGCCTCTATCCATCCTTGTATATGGCATATAAAAAGATGCATGATTTCTGATGAACACAGGGTACAGATCCTAAAGCATGTTACAGAGCAGGACTGGACATCACAAAATGAAACCAACAGCAATCACATATCACTAATTCAGGGGCAACGACAAAGGGAAGAAACACTGTCTACACAAAATGCGTCAATACAAGAAATTATTCCATGCAGTGATGGCAACTTCTGACACCTTTTGTCTCACCTATGGAACAAGAGAATACTGCAATGTAACTAGCCCAAAACACAACCTGCTACCATAGAGATTTGTGATGTTTTTCAGATGTGCATGAAAGCTCTATACATGATCATGGAAGATATTTATCAACTAGAATTTAGAAATTAAGAAATCAAATCACTGTAGGCAATATGGTACTAAAGTGTCATATAAAACAAACACATAGTTCTTTCTTAGTGCAAAGAAATATAGCAAGTAAGAAATAACACTATAAATCTAACTTCTTTCTTTAAAAGAAAATGCGTTTATGCATTCATAACATCCATTAAGGGCACTGGGAAACTGGAAACCTGAATACACAAGGCCTGAAAAAACATCAAGCCCTTAAGTCCACTGCTTTTTGTACACATATATTGAAACTGTTAAGTGGAGAGGGCAGGGAAACACACTGTTTAATTTCATTTCCAAAGGAAAAACTGAAAGTAGATGAATGCTGCTTTCACAAAACATAAATTCATATACACAATCTTTAATGTTATCTGGAATAAGGATTCAGTGAAATTCTCTCCAGGGAATCACATGAAATTTTAGGGGGAGGGGCATGTGCGATAGGTATACACACACCTACAGAGAAGAAATGAGATTTTTAAATATCATAAAACCAGCACTATATTAACATCTACCAAAAATTACATTTAGCAGCAAAATGAGCAACCTACTGGCCAATAAGACAAGTCTTAAATTGCCCTAAACTAATTAACTATACTTTATAGCCTCAACTACTACAAAAAAGAAATATTATAATAAGATTTATAGGTCCAGATAGAATCTAAACAGAAAATTACTTCACTCTTCTGTTTCTGGGAGAAAAAATTTACCAAATAATTCTACTTTTCAATAAACAACCACCTTAACAGAAACTGATTTTTAATTATAGGTCTACACTATTAGAAATTGCTCCAACGTACTACCAAAACTCAATGATGATTATACCTTTCTACCTATTTGCCTATACAATTCTCAAAGTTACCAAGAGTTTTAATCAGTAACATAAGCAATCACATAAGCATTTGCCAACATACAAACATACTGCTCACTATAAACTTCCTGGTGAACCTGATCTTTCAAAAGAAGCATGAATGAGCACCTATCTTCTCCATGTAAAGCAAAATATAGTAAATAGATAAAAATGTAGTTAATAAAACTTCACATAATACTCCATTGGAAATCTAGATATACACTGTGGCTTCTTATTTTAAAAGCAGAAACAATTTTCTACTGGGAATGGTGATATTGAAACTTAACCAGCTTTTAAAAAAATCCTTCTCTATGAAACAGCAGGTAATGGTGTTAATGGTTTTTTTCAGGACAGCTAACAAACTGACAGAACAGAAAATAATATAGTGTAAGGACTAGTTTATCTAAAAACTTCTGCCAAAAGAAAATATCAAGAGATCTTAAGTTATCGTTAAAACTATCATAAATTGTATGTTCCACTCAGATCAATGAAGACAAAACTCTACATTGAAACAGCAAACACATCTTTATGTTTCCCATATCAGAGGGAAAATATTCTTTTTAAAACCATGCCCATCTTAAACTCATGTGTCTAAATCCATGGGTTGGAAAACCCATAGCACAGCTAGCGCATGAAAATAAGCCTATCAGACAAGATGATTCAACTTTGAGGTTGGGGGAAAGGAGGAGGTGGCAATTAAATGTGTGAAAGCCACAACTGGAAATGAAGTTTAGCTCTCTGGAAGAATACAAGCACCCTGAAAGGGTGTGAATCCAAGAAAACTTGCATTTCAGTGATGGGGGCATGATATGGGGAACAATGTACTGGAGAGACCTTAACACAGACTGTGATGCTAGATCCTACCGACTGTGTTGAGGTGACAATTCCAGTGAACCCTTAAGAAACAAATCTCAGCTTTTAATGTGATTTGAAATAAGAATCCAACACTATCCTTTTATCTAGCAGTACATAAAACTAAAATTGCAAAAGAAGATGAAATTTTTAAATAGTCTTATCTCTAAGTCAACCAGGACTTGGCCAAGATAAAATGTTACTTCTGATGGGGTAGGTAGGTCACATGCTATACAGAGCTCAACACAGTTGACCCAAAAAAAGTGTTAGGACCTAAGAAGCACGCCTCCCTCCCCCCATCCCCGAGTTTTGACATCTCATGGTACCACTGCAGGGTACACGTATTAACATCAAGCAGAGGAATGTACTCATATCAAAAGGACCACAAAGCAGGGCAAGTAGACAGAAGGCAAACAGGCAGGACAAGCTGCTCTAGCTGAATATGATAACCATTATACATAACCCAGGTTCTCCATCTCATTCCTGTACCGCTGTTCAGACACCTTGCTTTTGTGTTGCTTGCTCTCTAAATGCTGCCGGAATTCCACCTCTTCACCTGCCCCAACATTACACATTGAGCAGTAAAACTGGCCACTCGGAGTAACACACATAGCTAGATCACGTGGAATTCTCTGCCGAGAGCGAGGATTGAAGTAAGGACCTGCTAAAGCAAGAGACAGAAGAACATTATTTACTTAGTGAAAGACCCTGGGACTGATTTTCATTGTCATCTGTAATTCTAAAGCAAATGATACAATTCACAGATTCTTAGCTTTAAATGAAGTTGAAATTAATGGATGTTTTTGAATTATAAGTTTAGGTAGGTTCAATCTACAAAGATAAAATGATTCCCAAACTGTTGTCAGGAAGGTTATTGTAGACCCAAACCCAAACTCTAAATGCCTACATTTCTAAAAAGTGAACACAATTTTAAAAATACTTTAGGGATTGGGGATTTAGCTCAGTGGTTTCACCACTTGCTGCACAAGCACAAAGACCCAAGTTCAATCCCCGGTACCAAAAAAAAAAAAAAAACTTTAATTTTCAAGCATTATAATTCTTGTAATTATGCTAACCCTTTAATCTAAAAACTCTACTTCTCTAAATTATCCTAAGAAAACATTAAGAGTGTTTGCACAGAGATCTAGCAGAAAGTCATTCACTTGGACAGTGTTTATAACAAAATTCTGGTGGAATGAGAAACCCAAAAATATGATTTAAAAAAGTACAATAATGAATGCAATGAAAAACTATGGAGTGGGGTGGCAGAAACAGCTAGTGGTGAGCACTTGCCTAGCATGTGCAAGACCCTGGTTCTATCCTAAAAAAAAGGAAAGAAAAGAACAAAAAGGAAAAACACCTATGAAGACAATAAACATAATGTTATAAAAAAAACTTTTAATTGCATTAAAATATAATATGCTATTAAGTAAATGGAGAATATCAAAAAATATAAGCTTAGGGCCGGGGCTTTAGCTCAGTGGTTTCGCTGCCTGCTGCACAAGCGCAAGGACTCGAGTTCGATCCCCCGTACC